TCCCAGGGAATGGGAACAGGAGGAGAGGGAACGGCCTCAGGCTGGGCCAGGGGAGGATCAGGTTGGATGGTGGAAAACTCCATCATGGAAAGTGTCCAACCCTGGCACAGCTGCCCAGGGCAGTGCTGGAGTCCCCATCCCTGTGGCACTCAAAAGCCATGTGGATGTGGCCCTTGGGGACATGGCCAGTGGTGGCCCTGGCAGTGCTGGGGGAACAGCTGGACTCCATCAGGACCTTGCAGCTCTTTCCCAACCTCAGTGGGGCCTGCAGTTCCTGCTGATCCCACTGAAAAAGTTTTATTAAACACTTGTTCAGGCAAAATGGAGTGATTTCAGAGTGAGAACCTGCTTGGACACAGGTAAGTGGAGCATAGTTGATGGTGCCATTCTCTGATTGTTTCTAGAAACTTTTAAGGCAGCACAGAAATGTACAGGAAATGTGATTTAATTGTTAGATACTGCTCTCAAAGTGGAGTTTTTCCTGCCAAAGCTCAGTCGTGAACAAGGCTTGTATCAGTCACTGGGAAACGAAATGAAATCTGATTTAAAGGTACTGCACTGGATTAATCAGCTGCTCCTCAATTGCATTCATTGACCCCATTCATTCAGGGGCTGTAATTAAGAAAAACAGCAGTGACTTTAAATTTGGCACCTGAATCACAAGGTTAAAGCACTAAATTTCTGCCTGGTGCCTGGTTTACAGGAGACATCTCTTTTCTCACTGATGATCAGGAGCCTCAGCTCCTGGCAGAGCAGCAATGAGTGAGGGGGAAAAAATACAGAGGGTTATGGAGGATTTTGGAAGTTATTAAGACATGGAAGACAGATAACCCTGTCCTTGTGGAATTAGAAATACTAAATACAAATACTTGAAATAAACAATGCTTCAGATTACAGGTTTTCATACTTGTTTTGCTGTAAAAGAAAAAAACAAAAAAACAACCTGGCTTCTAGTTAAGCAATACAGAAGTTGCCAAGATTTAAAATTAAAATAAGAAAACTTTCAGAAAACTGGTTTTTCAGAAAACTGATTTTTCAGTCAAAATTTAAAATTTTAGCCCTAATTATATTAAAATACCCATGTTTGGACACCACCTAGAGCTGGAAGTCAGGGCACCTCTTGCCACCATGAAGATACATCAGTTTGGATGATTCTGTCAGGTCTTTGGGCAAATAATGGTATTTCAAATCCATATTTTACTTTCAGAGATGAGTCACACAGACAACCCAGCTGATGTTGCAAATCCTCTGCTTTATTTTATTAAAAGACAGAGGTCCATTAGAGTATCCAGGCTGTTCTGTAACTATGGGCCATTAAATGTAATCCCCATCACTCAGGTATGAAACCTGAAGAATTACAATTTTAATAAACCACTTCAGTCCTTGGGTTTCTAAATTTTATGCCACAGGCAGGGAAAAGGAGTGACCCAGCCACCATCTGTGTCCAAACCCATCTTCTTATCCCTGCCTGAAGGGTTTCTGAGATCAAATGTCTTGGTTAGTAACTAACAGGTTAATAACTATAAATCCTGTATCAATTGTTTCTCTCTCCTCCATATGCCATGTATTTATTTAATGTTTGAGTTATATTCTGTGAGCTGTTGGAGGTGAATAATGCTCCTACAGCTCCAGGTAGATAAAGTTTTTAAATGCATGAGAAGAAATAACTTGGTGGTCTAACCAGTGTAAATTGTGCCACTAATATTTCTCCCTTATTTTGAGAGGGATGTGGCATTTCAAGTGGATCAGGGCTGTGAGTGATGGGTTTAAAAACATGCCTTCTGAAAGAAAATAAAGCAGCTGGCAAATAAAAGTGCCTGTTGGTTTGGGCCATGCAGGGAGCAATTCACGATCCCCACATTCCCAGTGCTGTGTTCAGTCTGGAGGTTGATGCTTCATTTGCCAATCCCTGTTCCTGCAATTTAGGCAGAAGACAGAAGATGAAATACTTAAGCATATTGAATTAAGGGCAAGAAACTTCCTAGCAGATTTCTGTGTGCTTTCCCAGGATGATACTCCATTCACTGTTAGTGTTTACTGTGTATTTCTTTGCTCTGCAGTATAATTCTTACTTTCATCTATTCATCTGGATGTCAGCTAGAAATTAAAATGAAAAGACTGCACTCTAAATGGATTCCTGAATGCTTTTATAAAGCATGGCAGGTTTAACAAACAGGCTCGATAAAAGTAGTTCCCACTTTGCTTCAATAATCAGAAAGGTTGTTTGTGTCCTTGGTCAGCCTGGAGCTGTCTTGGCTTTATTTCTTGCTTATTCTGTTGTATTGTATATGTGAGTGCAGCTTTTAGCATTTATATTTTTAGTGGTGTTTAAAATCAAAATCCTTAAATCAACATTATTTTTTTTCCATTAAAGAGATGCATTTGATACAGTCCCCAAGAAATGCTTCCAGCACATGCCATTTTTAATTGCTTTACCAATTATGATTCCTCAAGTCTAGCTAATAAATTTCTGCCTAACTGTGCATTTATTCAGAGCATGGGCAAGATGTAGACACCGTTCAGATGTGAAGACCTATTACAAGATTGAAATAGATTTCTAATGCATTTATCATTCATCTTTGCAGAGTGTGATTTCAATCAGAAAAAAAAATGATGAATGGTTTGACAGTTTCCACCCATATACGCTAAAACATAATATGCTGCTTCTAGTTTCAGCTATTACAGACTTTAACATGCAATGTGACCTTGGTCTGCAAAGCATGTTTGGTTAGCACAAAAACTTAATCATAAGAAGTCATAAGTAGAATCCTTCTTCTTTACTGCCCTTTTTCTGGGACTTGGAAATTTATTGCTTCTGGGACAGGTAGGATATGAACAATGGGCCAAATAGAGTCCAGGGTTATCTCATCTGTGTGAAAACTGCTGCTGAAAATCGATGTGACCTCTGCTACACTGTCATCCCAATTCCCACCCTCTGTGTCCTATTTGTCTTTTGGTAGAAGCTTAGATCTGTGTGCTGTCTCTGTGTGTCTCTCTTGGGCCAGATTATCAAAATGAATCATTGCCTGCATACCTCTTATATTTCTATTTATTTTCCTGGTGTTGACTAGGTCTGATGAAATATGATTCTTTTTGCATTTGATCCTCACTGCAGCAAGCAGCACCTAATTTAGCTGTGTCTATCTCTTTAAAGAAGAGTAATACTATTTTGAAACTTCAATCTGCTGTACAGTAGCATTACAAACCATAGACCATGCAACCTGTCTTCACAGTCAATAGTAATTTTCCTTTCGGCCAATTTAATGTTATTACTTTCATCTCCAAATAGCAGAGATTTCTAGAGGTGTTAGAGCAGCTCCAGTTTTGTTATGCATACTTCATGCATTGCTTTCTTTTTCAAATGCCACTTCTGTTTAGGCTTTTGTGACTCCGTGGCTTCGCTGTTATTTCTGTGTGGCACCATGTGTGACAACTAATCAAGTTATTTTAAAAACTCTGCTCCTGATATATTTGAATGTGAGAAATGGTGTGTCTGAATCAGCACAAACTTCATAAGTCTGAGTTCGTTACCTGAGTTGGGATTTTTAAATGGATCACTTAAATTCCATCTCAGATGCCATCTCTGAGGACGTGTGGAGGTTACTGGCTTTTGTTATTAGTCCTGAAAAATCATTAGGAAGGTGTTCCATTTAATGAACTCACAGAGCAAAGACAAAATACTCCCAAACCAGAGATTTCAATGAATACTTGAAAACTGCTAATGCTCCTGGTTTGTTGTCAGGTGGATGCAAGAAGTGCAGCTCAGTGGAGGCTCCTGAGTGTGTTACACCAGAAAACAGTGCTGCAGTGGAGACACCTTGGGTTAATTAGTTGTCAGATTCTTTTTAAGTTGTTTATTCTTAAAAACAGGAGTGGGAGAAGGAGACCTTTTGGGTGTGGTCTAATTGTAAATTCAGGCTTTAATATGACCAGGACACTTGACAGGTGAAACTCTGGGGGCTGGCTGTGCAGCAGCCCTGGGTGAGCACTGGCATCAGGAGCTCATGGCCAAGGCAGGGATCACAGGCTTCTCTAAAAGGGAGGTGCTGGGCAGACACTTGCCATGATTTCTGCAAGTGCAGGATCATTTTATATATATATATACTGGAATATTGCACAGAAGTACTTTTTTAGCATTTCAGAGTGAAAAAATTGTACAAAGTTTGGCTTCAGTCACAGCTAGATTTTAATTGTGTGGTTTTCAGCAATTAAAATGAATATGTGGGAAGAAGAAGTACTCAGAGGGATCTGAAAGAAGGAGCTACATCTACTGTCCTAAAAGATCCTTCCATTATTCTATTCAAAAAATGGGAGTTCCGTGGTGATAGTATTGATTCCTCACCAAATTGAAGGGATTCTAGAAAAAAACCAATTTCTAACATTGTCTCTTTCTGGATACACATTTCTGCTGGCTGTGCACAGCTCGATCTATACCCACACCATGTATTTGCAAGAAGGAGTGCAGGGGGAAGCTGCCAGGCCCCAGTTTGCTCTCTGCAGGAGATGCTCCAGTTCCAAGCAGTGCTGGCAGAGGGGATGGATGACTCAGTGGAGATTATTTACTGCTGAGCACGGGAAGGGGAAAGGTAGAGGAGTAAAGAGATGTGATACATTCCTAGATTAGAATTTTGCCAAGGTTATAGCAACAAAAAGCACACATCACAGAATGGCAAACATGATAGAATGAAGACAGGTCATTCAGGTTTAATGAACTGCGTAATACTGTTATAATTCTGTGGTATAATTCTGTAGAATTTGAGATATAATAGTCTGTCCTCCATTACAGCTGTGTTATAGGCTCAGTGTATTGATTATTGTTCTGTACTATTTTGCCAACTTGCCTTGGCAACAGTCCCAGCTGCCCAAAGACTGAAACAATGTTGATTTTACTAATGCACTTGTGTTTTGACTTCCAGATAAACAAAATGCTAGTTGCTAGAAATGACAGTCACCTATATTTCCAATGCTTTCTGATGTTGCTTTTAAACCTATCTTTACAGAAGAGGTCCAAATTGCCATTCCAATAATGAAACCAACCTTAGATAAAGTCCAACTGGCTGGACAGGCCTTGCCTCCTGGATTTCCGGCGCCATTTCTTTTTGCTGATGGTCTCTCATCAGTAGAAACACTATTAACCAACATTCAGGTAAATTCTTCTCTACAGGGCCAGGTTATGTCATGATAGATAACATGTGTTTCTTTTGCACTCTTAAAAAAGTTTCAGAAACTATTTTGTATTTGTAGTTTCTCATCTCTTTAATGTCATGCTTAGGTTTCCTCTCTCCCTGGCCCTATCAGTCATGGAAGGGTTTCATACATTGTATATACATTGTATATTTGACTTAATAATTGGCAATATTTGAAATTCACCATTCTCATTATTCCTGCAGTGCTTCTCTCTGCAGTTATTGAGGTGAGCAGAGACATGGCACTGTGTGTGTAACCAAATTAACCAAAGCTGTACTGAATGATTCCATGCCACAAAATTCCTCATAAATAACTCCAACATTAGCTACTTCCAATACCCAGTTGTGTTTCAGGTCTGTAGGTTCCTGCTTCTAATCTTTCTGTTTTCCTAGAGGGTGTAAAAGAAACAAGTGGATGAATTTTGTCGCTGCTGGAAGAAAATGGTGTTTTCAGATCTTGCATATGTGTGTGTTTTAGGGCCTGCTGAAAGTGGCTGTGGACAATGCAAGAGTCCAGGAAAAGCAAATACAGCAGGAAAAGAAAGAGTTAAAGATGGAGCTTTGTAGAGAGCGAGAACTACGAGAGAGCTTGGAAAGGCAACTCACAGCTGAGCTGCAAAGCAGAGGTGAGTGAGTGAAAAATGGAGTTTAGGTGTCTGTGAAATGTGTAACCCTTTGGCATTTCCAGCTGGAGCTGTCGAGGGCTCAGAGTTAACTGCCATTCATACTCAGTGGAATGCAGCAGTGGACCTGCCCTGGGAGTGAAAGATTCAAATCTCACAGAACCAGAGCAAAGCACAGGTTTCTGTGAGCAGAAGGAGCAGTGGCTGCAGGATTATTACCTGTAGGGCAACTGGCCCCAGAGAGTTTTGGCAGGTTCTGAGGAGGGAAGCTGGGCAGTTCCATGGCTTCCAGGTGTATTAGCATCACTCTGCCCAGGTATTCCCTGCCCGATTTTTTCATTTGACAGCTTTAATTTCTTTTTGTTTCTGCTGTTATCCTCCAAGCATCATCAGTCCTACTGTGAGAAAGACATGGCTTTAATTTGGGTATTCAGGTGATTTTTTTCATTACTTCCCTGGCCCACATTTCTGCAGCCTCAGTGCTGCTCAGTTTGTCTTGTAGAGAACTTCAGCTCAACAAAACAGAGCTGTGAGAAATTGTCTGCCCAAGTGCAAGATCTGAACCAAATCATCCTAGGTATTTTTTTTGCATCAGGAGATTGAAGTGCAGTAGCACACCCCAAATGGGGCTTTCTGAGACAAAACCATGACTGGTTAGAAGCTTTTGATAATAACAGGCAATTAAATTGGTAAATCTGAATTTCTCGCTGTGCTGTTGCAAAGGAGGCAGTATTAGTATTCTTTTTAAAATTCAGATCTGCATCTGAAGGAAAGGAACAGCACTTCATGTGCCAAAAGCTACTTCTAGATTACATCCATGAAATCAGAAAGATAAAACTAGATAAGACCAAAAGTGTAGGTGCCAAGTCCTTTCTTCCTGTGCTTTTTGAATGGAAATTGGGTGTGTGGAGCTTTCTGCAGTGCCAGGTCTCACTAAGAGGCACCAAAGGGCTCCTCTCAGTTTGGGTGTGAAGGGTCAGTAAATCCTGCTGAAGATGTTAAATTGCATTGGATGTCCACAAATGTTGCATCACCCAAGTGTGGTGGGGCTGTAAAACAAAACTGAGCTCCTTAGGCCAGCACAGTGTACCCCTCCTGAATCCCAGCTAACTCACCAAAATCTTCAGGTCATTCACAGACTTTGATAGCTCCTGACTTGTGAGAGAATTTCACCAATAATCAGCATCCTCAGAATTGTCTGTCTTTCAGGTCACCACCACATGCACATCTTTATTGTTCTAGGAGTCCTGAGCCAGAAATGCACCTTTGAATATTGAACATAACCTAATTTCTTACTGTCTCCATCATCTGTTAATTGAGCCCTGACAACCATTCTTACACTGTATTTACATTTCAGCCACAATTCAAAAACGCTTGAAGAAAGAGAAGAAGGCAAAGAGAAAATTGCAGGAAGCTCTGGAATTTGAATCCAAGAGAAGAGAACAAGTGGAACAGGCTCTGAAACAGGCCACATCAGGTGACGGTCTCAGGATGTTAAATGGTAATGTCTTAGTTGGCCTTTCACAGTCAGCTTAAAATGATGTTTGATTGAGTGAGAAAAAAAAAATCAGATGGTGCACAGAGCAAATTTCAGAATAAACCCCCACAATTCTTTCCTGAAATAATGAAAAATCTATTTCAGGCTATGTGCTCTGGGTCGAGAATTAAAAAAATAAATAAGTCTGCAACTAGAGAAACAGACAGAGCAGTTTACACAGAGATGACAAGAAATGCTGAATATATTACAGAGAAATCTGTTACAGTGCCAGCTAAGACAATGTGAAATTTGGTTCCTATAAGGTTCTGTGAACTCTTCTCTCCCAGCAGATTCATTTTTAGAACTGCTGAGCTTCATTTCAAAAGCCGTTTGGCTGAAGTTTGCTCAGCCTCAGGACCTATTAAGTTTGTTAAATATGTATCAGCTTTCAGAGCTGACTGGGTTTTGAACACTTCCCAAATATTCTTGTGAAACAAAAGCAAATCAGTTCATCTCCTAAGCAGTGATTAAGTTCTGGCTACCAGGAGGATTTGCCTTTTGTGCTTAAGATGATTCTGGCCGAACTTTAGAGCTTTGGTTTGAACATTTAAGACTGAACCTAGCTGAGATTTAATTAATTTCAGGTTCTGCAGCTAAGGTTTAGTCTGTGCATCCCTACCTGGAGTCTCTGCAGAGGCTCAGGAATCAGAGTGACATTCAGTCCCTGCTGCATTCAGGTGTCCTGTGGTGTGTTAATTTGTGCTGCCTGCTTTGGGCACTGCTAGAGACTGCAGAGTGCAAAAGCTGCCTGACTGCTGAGCAAAAATAATGAATTTGGCTTGTCTGGAGTTCTCAGCTGTGAGAGCTGCCCACACTGTTGTCTAAAGGCAGGGCAGGGCTGTGTGTGTGCCCTGGCACAGCAGTGCTCTGCAGGAGATGGGAGCTGGGATTTATCTGGGGCACCCGAGGCACATAAACTCTGTGAGTGTGGGAGCAGCATCTCTCAGAGGCTCCTCTCATCTGCTGTTCAGAGCCCTGCACATCCTGGAAGCAGGGACTGGCTGCTGTCCTGCAGCACTGGCAGTGGCCAGGGGGCTCCAGGTGTGGATCACAGCTGCAGTCACAGCAGGCTGGGGACAGTGACTGGGGAGAGTGGATGGCCAAAGCCAGCAAGAAACCTTCTCCACTCCTCCACTGGATCAGACAAATGCCCAGACTGGATCCCACTGACAGAGCCAGCACCTTGGGAGGAAAATCAGAAAAAACCTAAAATCCTGCTGTGCTGGGTGTCACTCCCCTGGGTGCTGCCACTGCAGGGAAGCACCTGCTGCTCACACACCAGCCAGCAGCACCCAGCAGTTCTGGAGGCCACAAATCCAGGGATACCAAGGTTCCAGCAGTGTGATTAACACACCTTTACATCTGCTAGTGTGGGCCTGGCTGCAGCAGTTTGATTTGCAGGCACACTCAGGTAGTCATATATATGTTAGTGCCTGCAAGAAGCTGATATTTACATGCTAATCTGATTGCACATGCAAATCAGGTAGCTCATTAGCATCTTAATCCACAATTTAATTGCAGGTACAATTTTATGACAACAAAATGTGAAGGGCTATTCTGAGTATTTTTAATTTAACTCTGACAGTCTGTCTCATTTAACAGATGCTGTTATTAGTTACAGATGACTTTGTCATTTTTGGTATATACAACATGTACTCTGAAGGGTTTGAGAAGAAAGAACCTTTTCAGGTTGATAGGTCAGAGCCCTGCACTTGCCTTCAGAACAGGAATCTGAGTAAGGGAAACCCTGCAGATTAGCAGTCACTTGTAATTTTATGAGGAAAAAAAAGTATATGTGAAAATACTGCTTTTTATATCACATATACATTTATAGAGCTATATATGCACACATGACATGAATTTCACTTACACATTTATTGCTGAGCTATTGCTCTCCTGTAAGGACTGTACTTCTCAGGGTTGCCCTGCTTTCACTCAGGGCTCAGTTACTGCAGGGTCACCAGCAAAGCATCACCTCTGTGACAGATCCTGACACTCAGCTGAAGGGATCTGTGAAAGCAACAGTGCACTTATTCCCTGTTTGAAAAAGTCCAGAACAGGCTTTTGCACAAAAAAACCCCCCAAACTGTACACACAGCTTCCTTTCAGGTGTGGGTTTTTCCTTCCTGTAATTTCTAAGGGCTGTGTGATAAGGGAAGCAGATGTTTCTCCAGGATTTGAGGTGCCATGGATTCAAATCACATCCCCTTCATGCTAATCCTTGTTGGCACAAGGTGCATCGTGGCATCTGTTCCTGTAACACCCTGGGGTGTTGGAGCCCCCACCCCCACCCCAAGGACTGTGCAGACACAGGGATCACCAACATGAAATTAAACAGGTCCAGAGTGAGTGTCATGAGACTCCTTCTCAACTTGGGGAAAAAAAAAAAAAAAAGAGCACAGTCCTCTTTGGAAAGCTCTTCTCAGAGATCTGGAAATGCTTCACATAATATGACAGCTGTAATTTGGGTTTGGGTGGTAACACATGCTCACACATCCCAAGCTGAGGTTGGAAATGCAATTTGCACAGTTCTTATCTGTAACATGCACTCACACAAACTGATACACACACACCCCAAAACTGTTGCCTGGCACTGGCTATATTCTTAACTCTGTAATTTGGAGGTACTTGGCTACATACAAGAGTCAATGTAGTTTAATATTATCACAGTTTAATTTCAACTTTTATTTTTCATGTGTCAGATGCCCTCATTCTCCAAGAGGATTTTGCAGACATATTATTACCACGTGTTGGTTATTATCTGATCGTCAGACAAATGTGAAGCACATTAAAAATAATTCACTGTGAGACCAGTAATGTTTGCACATTTTGGAAACAATTTACTACTGAAAATTCTATGAGGACCAAATGTTTTATGCAAGACCACGTTAACTTGGAGAGCACCCTAGTTTGCTATAAATATTTTTCTAAAGATGCCTGAGAGAGGGGCAAAGGGGAATGCATTAATCTTCAGTCTCCCATCTTTCAGATGCTGGAATCCCAGATATGGAAATAGAACACAACGGAACCCAACATGACAGTGCAGCCATGCAAGGTGCAGTATGTACCACAGCTCTTCACTTGTGTGCTTGTCCTTAAAAATGAGTTTAATCATTTTTATATCTGTTTTCATGATTTAAGATCAGTGTAAATTACAGAGCTTTGGTTTGTTTTCCTGTTTGATACAGAAAACCTTTGTAAGAGCAAAGATCAGAAATTAACTTTACAATATCAGAAATTAACTTTAAGTAGAGGTAATATTTAGCTGAAGTTTTTTAGAGGTGCTGTTTGTTTTAAAGCTGGTATTTATCTACCAAGACACATGCCCTTAGTTCAAAAGGGGTTTTATATATGATTTGTCATTTGAAATATTTTACCTCTAGTCTTTACCTACCAATCAAGATCGCAGATGTTTTCAAAAAATGCATGAACTGTAAGTGAAAAAGAAAAGCCATGTTCATATTATGGGCAGTTGTCTGGTGCTACTTTTCCTTCACTGTGTGCCTGTGTGTAAGTGCAGCACCTCCAGGTATGGCCTCAGTGCTTCCCAAAGAGCAGGAAATGAGTTCTGGCTGCAGGTCTGGGATGTGAGGAGTTGTGAAATCCTCCTTTGTGGGAGCAGGGACAGGGATATTCCCAAGGGATATTCCCATTCCTCTTGGAAGCCTCTTTGAGCCACACAGAAAATCCACAGTCCCCTGTGATAAAATCTCTGAGCAATTTGAACATTGGAATTCTCTGATGAAAGTCCCACTTGTAGAGTTTTTCTCCCATCAGTCCTGTGCCATTTTCATTCCAGACTGTTCAGTTCTATGCTGGCAGCCAGCAGACAGCTTCCTCTTCCACAGAACTGCTGCTTCTTAGAGCAATCCCACCCTCTCTCCTGCTTCATGGGATGGTAACGTGCAAAAATCCCCTGTGCTGAGGCAGTTTGTGCAGACAGGAGAAGGGCTGCAGTGCACTTGGAGACACAAACCTCATTGAGCATTTCTCTTCAGCTGGGGAAGGTCTGACTTGCATACCTCTGGTATGCATCTGTCATCCATCTGCCATCCTTACAGGAAAGCTTTCAAATATTTTTACTGCTGTCTCTTCTTGTGATTTTAGATTCATATGCTCTGTATTACAGAGAAGGAGAATCACAGCTTTATTGTAATGCAGATATATACATCTGACATATGTGTGTGTATATATATGTGCACATATAATGAGAGCTGTGCTCTAAATATTGCAATTGGAAAATTGCTGCTGCCAGAAATAGTCAAAATATTGGATGAGCACTTGGGACACATCCATTTAAATTTGATGAGGAAAATGTTCCTTACATTTCTGATCTGTTCATGGGAGGAATGTTCAGTGCTCTTCCAGACAACTCTGAGAGTCAAAGGTGCATCTGGGCAGACTCAGGTAAAGAAGAGAAAGGTAATTTCACTTTTCAGTTGAAGAAAAACTATAAAACTATGACACTTGGCTCAAATGTGTCTTTACATCAAAAATGAGTGAAATACTGTGAGGAAAGTGATGCACAGCCACTCCCAATGACCATTTACTTGCCTGAAGGAATCAAGAGAAGTTTGTTACCTGTAGTTTATTAATACACAGGAAAGCCTGGTGACTTTGACCATTTTTATTTCATGGCGAGTTTTTTCTTTTTTTTTTTTTTGGTTTTTTTTTTTTTTTTCTTTTTTTTTTTTTTTTTCTTTTAATCTGATCCCAACTACATCATCCCTTCAGTTATGAGAGGCTTTGGCTCAGGAAGTTTTTATTAAGCCTGGCCAAGGGGAGACCTGGATATTCCCTGTCTTGTGTCCGTGGGCTCAGTGGGAGCAGGATATGGCCTGGGCAGCAGGAGCTGCAGCCCTGTCCCTGTCCCTGTCCCTGTCCCTTCCCTTTTCTGCCCTGCTGGCTCTGACCCCCCTGGCATGGTAATCTGCTCATGGGGACACGTGAGGAGCTGAACCACTTGGTCACTAAACACTCTGAGCTGATAAAAAGCTTTCTGGAGAGCTCTCTGTGGAGCTTGTTTGGATTGCAAAGTGTTCCTGTCCTGTAGCACCATCTCTTTCATTTTTATTTATGCTGATACTGTAATAACTTTTTATTCCCTTTCCTTTGATAACCATTCGTGTCCCTGACAGCTCCTATTGCTGCTGCAGCTCTGACAATTCCAGCACACTCCCTCACTGCCCCTGTCATTTGCTGCCTTTGTTTTTTGGGCCCTGGGAGGAGGAAGGGGCAAAACACATGTCCCTAATACAAAGCTGTTTCCAGGCTTCCAAAATCTCTGTCAGTTGCTCAGAAAAAAAGCTTTAGCATCAATACAGAGCTTTCTTTTTCTGTTGTCAATAGCTCTGCTGGACAGAAATCTATCATTCACACAGAGCTTTTCCTTTGAAATTCAATTAGTTCCACTGCCAGTATCTCCTTAAGACGGTTTAAAGGAAAATCACAGAACTACTGCACAGCCACCTTTCACAGTGATTAAGTCATATCATATTTTATGCTCATTTCTTAAAATGATTTTATTAACACAAGCTGTTCATGTACTGCGTTTCTGATCTGCATTATAAATCTTTTCCATTTAGTTGACTCATTTTCCCTCTGCTTTGTATATTAATTGAACAGAAATTTCATGCAGATGAGACTTCAAACTTTTTTGAACTTTACAGTCTAATGCCTGCATCCTCCACATCCCAGATGTAGTTCAGAGCTGGAGCTGGGAGGTTTTTAGCTGGCAGAGGAGATCAGAGCAGGTGATGAGCACTCAGACACCCTCCTGCTCCTCCTTCCACCACTCACTCCTGGGCCAGCACCACAGTGCATCAACCATTTTATCAGCCAATCTCCCTTCCACATAAAATAAACATACTGGGTGTCATTAAGTGCACCTTCAGATCAATGATTTTTGCAAATGACATTCAAGTACCATTTGAGTAGTGCATTTTTGCTGATAAAAGCAAATTAAATTAGCACAACTACAAGTGTGCTGATAAAAACTAAAACTGAACAGCAGCACCATTAGCTAACAAAGTAATATTTTCTCTTTACTGCTTTCTGCCATTTAGTTATTATCCTATTGGAAATCTAATTATAATCCTTTTACTCCCTAGTCAAACTTCACAGTTTTTGCAAGCTTAGCACTGACAAGTGATTTCATTACATTTGATTGCCCGCGCCCAGATTGACTTAACTTCACTCCGAGACCTAAAAGCCCTCTCAGTTTCTCAGATTCCCTGTTTGCACATTACAGCAACAGCTCCTTTAATTAATTAGCATGAACAGCAGTAACATGAACTGCTGAACAGAAAATAACATCATTTTATGATCGCAGGGAGACTTCTCCTTTTGCATGTTTATACCTTAGTTAACTTTTGTATTACAATATTTCATTGTTAGGGGATAGTGGAACAATCAGCAAAGCAATGTTAGCTTAAAATCTTAAAAAGTAGATGTAACAGTAATACTTGAAAACAACAATTTACAAAAAAATAAAATTTCAGGAAGGAGGCAGCAGCATAGGCAGGCAGGCTCTCCTGAGGTGAAAATGTACTTCACTGTGCCTTCAACAGGAGGCTGACCCAGGGCTGCTGCTGCTGCTTTTGTTTGTGACATAACCTGGCAGAGATCTGGCACAAAAACTCTGGGGTTACCATGAATAACATTTAATTTTTATCTTACATGTGAATAACATCTTATTTATTTGTCAAAGATGAAGGACTGGTGTTGTTTGGAACGTATTTTGGGGTTTATCATGTAGAAGACTGGGCTTCAGTTCATTGGTGTTCTGCTCTAGCCACTGAGTTCTCAAATCCAAGCTGCTTTATCTGAGTCCTAGGCCTGTTGTTCTCCCTGCCCAAGCTGTGTTCTCTCCCTAGAGCACGTCCTGCTCTGGAGGCTGTGGGTTATTGAACCCCTGGTAGCTGCCTCGTGCTGTGTCATTGCAGAGTTCCCAGAAAAGCTCTCTCAAAGCTCCTGAGCAGTCCCCAGACTGTCACCCCATGGCCACCTGCAGCTCAGAGCTGCCCCACAGGAACAGGCCTTACAGGGACTCACCAGAAATCCTGAAGAAACTCTGCCCAGCAGCTCTGTGGGTGAGCAGCCCTGCAGGGTCAGGCTGAGAGGAAGGAGAGGTTTTGGTACCAATCCCAAAGGATGCCCTGGGCTCAGCCAGCTCGAGATATCAGAGAGGGCACCTCTGATACCATATCTGTGCCTCTGCAGGGTGAGGAGAGGCCATGGGAGAGTGGGAGAGATGAAAACAAACCAACCTTTGTTGGTACTGCTGCTCACAGAACCATTTATTGACCGTGTTCTTCCTGGGTCAAGAGGGAGCTGTGCCCTGCCCTCTCTCTGCTCAGTTTGAAGGACATTTGCAGATAAAAGAGAGGTTTTGCTGGACAACCAATAAGCAGGCAAAGAAGTAATTTTTACTTGTCATTCAGCTGAATGATCAGCCCAGATCCATCTTCTTTCCATGGTAGTGAAGGGATCCCTTGCTGAGTTTTGGTCACTGCTCTGCTCCTTACCCACAAGCAGGGCCTGGATTCATTCCCCTTCCAGGCAGGCAGCACTCCTTTCTGCCAAGGGCTGGAGGGAAAGAGGGATTTTCTGAGGGATGGGATCCTTTGGAGAAGCAAACTGGTTTTGTCTGATTTTTTTCTTTGTACAAAGTAAGACACTGGTTCAAACTAATTAGCCCCAGCTTTGCAAGTTAATTTATTGTTACAGCATTGCATTTCCCATGTGTTGCTTCCTCCAATGCTGAGCTTGGCTCTGATCTGACTGAGGGGCTGTTTACCCAGGCTGGGAAGGATGGAGAGCTCATCTCCTGTGCAGTTGGACTCTTGTTTTGTTTTAAAGTAGTTTAGGGAAATAAAGCTAAATTCCTGATTTAAGCCAGAGATCTTACAAGCAAAGGATTCAGAAAATTCAGATATGTGGAATAAGCTGGGAAAGAAAATTAAATGTGAATAAATATGGAGATGATGATTATTGCCTTTGGATTTGTCCTTTATGCATCCATTAAAACCTTGGAAGAAAAAGATAAATGATGATATTATGGCTAAAAGGAGTGCAAGAGCTGCACCTACCCTGGGCTGACAACTCAGGGAAGAGAATGCTGTCCTGAGGGAAAATTCCAGTTATTAACACAGACTCTGGCTCACCAAGAAACTCCGAGATCTTTACTTGTCTTATACATTGTGAAGGGGAAAAAAAACCTCCTTTCTAAATGTCTTGCTTATTAAGCCAGTCATGCATTGCTCTGTAGGCTGTAAAGCAGTGTAACATGCACAGGGGGCTCATAAGCATATTTAGTGTTAGGGAATATCATTTATACAGTTTTTATATTGTCAGTATTACCCCTAGAGAATGAGATTAGGCTTTAAACTACTGTAAATCTATGCTTTTGCTCACCTTTGTATAATTTCGTTTTTTAATAGAATGAAGCCCACATAAATGAATATTTGATTAAGGGATAAACCTGATAAAAGAATACATTTATTGCACACAGATTTATTCAAATCTTTGCTATATAATACAGTAAAGTGCTATAAAATGGTCTGTAGCTTGCAGTCAGCTGCACTGAGGAGATGGTGAATATTCTCCAGAAAAGATTAATTTGACAACATCACATTGTCTTTCCTGTGTAAGTGGGGGCACAGCTGCTCCCAGCACGTTAATTCCTCAGAGGTGATTGCTGTGTGACGTGGTTAATGCCATGAAATTCAGTTTATTGCACAGACACAAAAAAAGTATTTTAATTTCTGGAGAATAATTGAGGGTGTTATAAAAGGGAAATATTTAACTGTGCACTTTCTGTTCACTGATCAATGATGGCTCCTGGGTGGCTGCACTGGGCTCGAGCTGTGGCATTTACTTTTCTCTCTTGCAGGTATTGCAGATATCTCCATTGAACTTTCCTTGAGAAATAAAGGGGATTGGAAGGAAATATGGAAACCTGTTCCAAAGTTTAGTCAGCCCACAGTACCCTCAATGTCCTCATCTTACCTTAATTTAAAAAATAATACTTATAATTTTAAAAAATAATACTTAAAATTTAATAAGAACCTAAAGAACAGCCTCCACTAGGGAAGAAGCCATGTGCAGCTTCCTAATGATCATGAGAAAAAGGAAAAAAAAAAAACCCAAACCACAAACAAACCCCACAGTGCTCAATCCTTGCATTTCTGCTGAACCCCCCAGGCTTTTGTAATTCCCCACCAGGTTTAAAACAAGAATTCTCATCAGCCAATGGCCTGAAACTAATTTTAGTTCTTTCTTTGGAGGCTCCCAAACATCCCTCTGGAGTTGTTATGTCCCTGGCTCTTGTGATCTTTATTTGTGCTTACATCCAAAATACGAATTAAATCATCTCAGTTTGGAGAGTCTGAGCCTCCTTAAAACCACAAAACATTCAATTACTAATTAGCTGTTTCCTGTTCCTAATGAAGTGAACATGTCGGATTTGGATTAAAATTCAGCTACTGCTCTCCTCTGTTTATGGTTCCAGATGTTTTTGTTTTATCTAGGAGGTTACTTTGACAGCTACTGCTAAATGATAAATCACTCATATTATAGCTGAAATGCATTTTGAAATTGAAATGTGGCAAACTTGGAGATTGCTCCAAGGATCAGTGTCAGTTTGCAGGTCAATACTTGTTCTTTCCTTAGGAGTGCTCGGTATTGGCGTATGTAAAACAGTAATGGGAGAGATGTCAACATTATACAAAATGCTGCTCCATATTATCATTTTGCTATCATCTTCCAGATCACTTCTTGCAGATTTAGCTGGGTGGATTCATGATTCATTGTATAATGAGCAGGAATATGGATTCTTGTTAGCTTCAGTTTCTGTGGGCATTTCAATATTTATTTTTTCTCTGGGCTTAAAGTTGCTTAATGTGAAAAATCACAGTTGATAGGTACTATAACTAGGAATATTTTTATGAAGTGCTTTTCTGCTTCGTTCTCTAAATAAAGAAATAGAATTTCAAGAGAAATGTGGTGGTTTCTGAATGAAAGAACAGTTTTCCAAGAACAGATCCTGATTTACATTTTCTGAAAGCAGTGCAGTTTTAACACCCTGTTCCCTGGCAGGTTTTGTGCAGGGTGTGTGGTAAAGCTGGTGCCTTGTCCCTGGGTCTGTCCCAGGGAGGCAGCAATCCAACACGGGCTGCCTTTGGGAGAAAAGGACTGTTTGATTGAAAAAAATGCCTCAAAGGAAGAAAATCCCAGTCAGTGTTTGCAGCCTGTCCTCAGCCATTGCTGGCAAGCACCAGGGAAGTGGTGATGGTCTTTGTCCTTTCTGGGGGCTTGGCCAGGTGTTGTCATCCAGTGCCTCCTTTTCCTACACAAAACGTGCCCATGTGATGGACAGTTCAGTTTATATCACTTTTAGATCTCATTTGGCTTGATGGAAAGATCCACAGCCAAGTGAAGAAACCACCTAAGTGTCAGTTAATTATAAAATGTTCAACTGTGTAATGGACTTTTTTCTTCTTTTTTGTTTCCCTCCAGAAAACAGAACATACATCAAGCCGACCATTATGTACTGAAGGAACCACCTATTGCTGAAAAATGTATAATGACCACTATTTGAAGACTATATAGTTCCTGAGAAATGTCCCTTCCAACCTTTGATGCCTTCAGTACTGTGTGAGGAACAGGATTTGTAGCATGAAACTTGAAGGACAATTTCAAGCAATTTACTGTTGCTGCATTGAAAACTGCCGTATTAAGAAATACTGAGACTTTTTACAAGCTTACCATACCAAACCAAGCCTGTCACAACAGATCATTTTTAGGTCCCTGGAGATAGAAAGGAGTTTTAGTATTTTTAAGCACATACATCAATTATTTCCCCTCCCCACCCTGCCCCAAAAAAGAACTTTTTTTTTTTTTCCTTAGGAGGTGGCTATTACTGAATAGCAATGGCACAATGATTTTAAGCCACAATGGTCCTCACTGGCTGTACATCATACAAGTCCAGTTTATCACTGAAACTGTTCAACATGGAGCTGTTTCGATTGTGTTTATAAATTAAGCTTTGTTTACTGAAGCAGATACTCGATATATATTACGTTTTAAAAAGAAATGTGTGTACATTTTTTAAAAGAACGATGTAAAAATTGTCCTTTCATTAGATGACCGATTCAAAAGTGTGAGCTAAACCCTAATAGCTGATGTAATATGAGGATTATAATTGATGCTTTTTTTTTTAATGCTCAGTTCAGCTTGGCTTTTGGTCTTTTAAGATGGAAAAATGAATATGCAGTAGAGTGTTAGATAATGGAAACTTTTAAGTATGGTTTCTCTGTTGTACCATATTAAGTTAAAGTACACATTCTTTGTTAAAAATGTTCTTGCTAAAAATACAGTATTAAAAAGTTTTTTGTTTGACTTTGGAAATCTTTTAAGATTTTTTTTGGACTGTGAATTCCCATAGTAACTGTACTAATGCAAACCAGTATTTTGCACTATTAAAAATACTTGAAGAAATGACTTAATAAAGAGGGTGGGTTGGTATTAAACATTTTCCTAATTATTATATGCTCCAGATTCTGAACTTTGAAAACTGAAAACAGCTGACAGCTTCCCTTCTCAAAACATGGCACTGAGGGCTGGTTTGAGTCAGGTGGGATTAAGTGCTCACCTGTTCCCTCTTTATTTTAATTCCTTGATCAGAGGCACAGTGCTTATTTCCTTACACACTCCTGTTTATGTACACATGTTTACACACACATGCCCTGAATATAAATCACTGTCACTTAAAAACAAAAAAGACCTTTAGATAGATCTACAGGAAATATATTCCCTATGATTTTTACTTCTCCCTACATCTAAATGTAGAATGTTCCCAATTTCTTTCATTTTTAACACTGCTTTTTTTCTCATTAGCAGACTTTTGTAAACAGACTCTGCAGAATAGAATCACCTGATTTTTTTTGTTCCTAAAAGAAATCTTTACCTTAACCAGTGTCAGTGCAAGAAAACGTGCTGCCCCCGTTCTACAGTGACTTATCAGAATATTCTTCCAATGTACAAATCGGGTTTTTTTCAATATTATTTTTATAACAGCTGTTCTAATAACTGCATTAATCATGCTGCCATTGATCAAACCATCAAAAGTTTAATGATACAAAAAAAGGAGCATTAGGAATTGTGAGTCCTCCTGATTCTCAATAAATGCTCATGTGTGAATAAAACATTGCAACACCAAAACTTAAATTGTACCTTTAGGTATTATATTAAATTTAGTTTCAATTCCAGTGGGATTTTCTGAAGTGAGGGCTGGACTTTATTCTAAATTTTATTTTTAAAAGGGAGTTGAGGCAGCCCTTGGGGTGCTGCAGCATTTCTGGCTGACCCAGTGCTGGCAGTGCTCCTGTGAAGTGCAGACTTTGAACAGAGATCTCTGCTCAGTTTTCCAGTTTCGTGTAGTTTAGAAAGATTTCATGTAACTAAATAGTTCAGTCTTTAAAATATCAACATTTTTGCACTTTCCTTTCATCCCCATAAAGGCTTTTTGAGCATTTTCCCCCTCAGTGACTGGTGTAGACATTCCTTAAGGCATCACTGAGCCTGGGTTGATGAGCACAGGTTGATTCCTGCTCTGCCCATCCCAGATTGGTTTTAAATGTCAAAATTCTGACAAATGAAGTTTAGGAGACTGATAAACTGGAGAGGCTGGCTCTGTTTTCAGTCCTCACCTTGTGGCTCCTGGTAAGTATTGACAAACCAGGAGGCTGAGGGGTTTGGGTGTCAGCAATGAGCAATGATATAGAATAATGAGCCAACCTTGTGTGGAAGGAAGGTGCTAAAGCCTTTTAAAGGCTCAGCCTTCCCCACTACACTCCTCCTCACTGCAACAGCCCCAGCTGGCTCCCAGAGAGGGACAGCACCTCTTGGGGTTGGGTTTTCAGTGTGGCTTTTGTCTGGGTGTGGGGCAGAGGGACACGGGCAGCCCCTCCTGCTGCAGTGGGAGCTCAGCTGGGCGTGTGTGGGGTGCAGCACCCACAGCCCCTGTGCCAGCTCTGCCTCCCCAAGAGCCTCCCCAGCAGTGTGGGGGGGCCATGGAGCCATCCTTGGTCTTGGCTGAATGCAGGCAAGGGGATGGAATGCAGACCATAATAAACCCCAGAGGATCAATAGTGCCCAATCTCCATTTGAAGCCTGGATCTGTAGCAGTGCACAGTGAGACCATGGCTGTGCATTAAAACCTGGATGCTGCTTGAAATAATTGCTGCCTACAAGGAAGTGGCCTGTAAATACATTTATTTACAGACTATTTTTAGTAACATGACAAAATGTGGGCTAACCTGAATTGTTACAAATTTCCTTTATGGCCTCAGCTGATCTCCACAACCCCTCCTGTGCCTGTGCATGCTCTGAGCCCTGAATACACATGGGACAATTCCCAGCCTGGGCTTGGATCTGGGACCTTTGGCAGCAGCAGCACTGATGGAGGCACTTCCACCTTGCCCTGCAGCTCCTGCTGGGGTCCTGCAGCACCCACTGGCCCTGCTGCCCTTGCTGGGGAGGGCAAGGAATTTCCAGAGGGGCTTTTCTAAGCCAGGCCACGTGCTATCATCACTGCTAACACATCCTGCTAATGTTTAAGCACATGTAAAATCACTGTAATAAACAATCTGACTTCAGTTGTGTCTGCAAATAAGGGTGTCTTTGATGATTTGAAGCTGAGATGGAAGGGCAGTAAAAAAAAGTATTTTTATAATGATGTATTATGGATGGATAATGATTTGCTGCTGCTTTGTTATTGTACATCAAAGGAATCAATTGAAACGAGCCAGTTCAGTGTCAGCAGAGCACAAATGCTGCAGCTTTTGTGGGTGCTGCACCCACTCTTGCCTTTGGACCTGGACCTGTTTGGGTCTCCTGTAGGAACAGAACATCCTTTGCATGAACATTTGGGTGTGGGCATCTAAGGCAGGGGGGAAAATTCTCTTTGGAGCTCATTTTTTAAAATAAAAACTCCCATTTTTCTGAGTTTCACTTACAAATGCAGTAAGACTTTACTACATCTTCATTATGTGATTCTGTTGACATAATCCAAAACTGTGAAAGCAAATACAGCACCATACATTAAAATGTTCTTATGATAAGTGATACTTTAAAAACTGGATGCTTTATAATAGTTTAACTATTTTAACATACATTCAGCCTTGCATGTTTGAAAATGCTTTCACAGCTCTTTCAGAAAGGACACTGAAATGTGCACTCAATAAGCAGTAGATCCCTTTTCACCATCTATTATTTTTGTGTCTCCAACAGTGGTTAGTTGTGAGAAAAGGGGAGGTTTTTGCTGTGTGTGTATAGAAATAAATTTATATAAATAACTAAATAAAGATAGATAGATGATAGATAGATAGATAGATAGATAGATGATAGATAGATAGATAGATAGATAGATAGATAAATAGATAGATAGATAGATAGATACCTGCTGCTCCTGGTACCAGAACAAGGATTCTGGAATAAATTCTGGCTGGTCAGAGGGAAGATGGAGATGGAGCAGCCAGAGAAGTGACATGTTCATATTGAGCTATACAAAATCCATCCAGCTCTAATTAATCACTGTGTGCTTCACTCAGCCCCCAGTGGGCCAGACTTACTTTTCACAAGAAAATCCAAAGTAAAACAGTGGAGACAAACTCAGTTCCTCCAGAGTTGTTACCTGAAATGGTTTCATTATGGTGAGGTTTGTGTCACAGCTCTCTCACAATAAATGTTGCAGTCCCACACCCCTGACATTAAGGTTATTGAGAGTTTTTGCTGTACACAGCCTGATTTAAATGCTCTGCATGAATCACTTGAGTGTCCCAGCAGCACATGGATGGACCTTTGGGGCTGTGCTGCAGGAGGGCAGGGAGGTGTTTGTGGTCACCCTGTCCTGCCCTTGGACAGCTGGACGTGGTACAGGAGCCTGCCGGGTGCTCCTTTAGGACCTGGGGTTTTTCTGAAGCTTTACCTTGTTACCCAAAGCCACATGCCTAAAAGGGACTGTCCCCCTCATCCACCAAAGTGGCCAAACAGGAAAAAACCACTGGCACTAAGTGAAACAAGGTGAGTTAGCTAAAAAGAGAGGAAAGAATTACCAGGAATGAAAAATAAATCTTAATTCGCTCCAGTGCTGGTAGGATTTGGCGTTTAACTTTAATCCTGTGTTTCATTCTGTGTCAGGGAGAAGTACCTGGTTTGTGTTTCCCTGACAATTCCTGCCATTAGCTGAGAGTGTTTATTCCCAGAGCTGTGTGCCATCAGTTGATGATGCTGGGACACTTACAAAAGAGAGGTTTTGGCAGGAAAACTGTAACATTTGGAACATTATTATGAAACATAATATTGTTCTTTGTAGATCAGGCCAAAGCTGTTCCATGCAAATTTTTGCATTCTCTTCCTTGGTGTCAGCTGGAGCAGAGGGTGAAACCACATCCCTAAAAGTAAGAAAACAGACCAAAAATGCTTAAAAACAAGGAATAAACTCCCCATTGGACTTTTTCTTGATAGTTCTGTAAAGCTGCTGAAGACAGAAATGGTACACAGAGATTTTTGGTGTCAGATCAGTGCTTTGCATTTTATGTGATCGTTTACACCTGTGCAAAGTGAGTGTTTGGTAGCATTTGACAGCTGATTTAGTAACGTTTGACACCTATATTACAATGTTGAAATGACTTTACAATGTGCAAAGCAGTGGAAAAAGCTCTGATTCTTTTCGTGGCTTTTTCTTTATAGTTGAATATTGAAATTCCATTCCAAAGGAAAAAAATATAATTCCTCACATCCTGACTGTAATTCTTTATTTCTTCTAGTATATTATGTTCTGCTCATACTAACTTGGGGGAAAAAAAGA